CCATTATGAGGTAGACCTACATTTCTATGCAAAACAAACAAAAACATGTGAAACTTTACATGCAGTTTTCTTTATTTGAGCAGTTAGTTGCACACCATTTAAAATACATTTTGTTGTTCTTAAAAGTTCTGTTTAGTTCCAGAGAGTGACCATCCTGGGGTGTCACAAAAAGCAGAAGCCATGGGGGGATTTTAATGTGCTTCAGAGTTTTCTGTTGTTGGGGGCAAAACATTAAAAAATATAAATAAGCAAATGTGATCATTTTCTTTCATGATATATGGCATGTTAGTTAATTGATCCATTCAGTATAACTCTGTCATATCCTGGATCCTGTCTGTTTATCCTGGATTCATAGAGGAGAAACCACAGGGATGTTCTCATTTTATTATTACTTATTTTATTCATTTATTTTTATTTTGGTCCATTGAATATGTTTAAAAACTTTATTTCCATCACACCCTCCAAATGAAACATCCAGAGAAGGGCTGTCTCCTGTCATGGTGAGTTTTTATAAAATCTACAGCCTCCTAGAAGATCTGATTGTAACTAATAAGAAAATGAATTAAGCTTTTTAATCCTTACCCTATTACCAAATACTTTGCATAGGTTTCGATTGCACTGGTTCCTGCATCAGTGCCAGTAACCCAGTAATAGCTTATTAGTTCCTCATTGTTTAATTTACTTGAACTGCAGAGAATAATTAATGAACAAAGTTGTGAAATTCTTAGTTTAAAGTATATTTAAGATGCAAGTATTTTAGTAGGGCCCATTCTGCTTTGCTTAAATTCTCTAAAAATCACCAGAATGTAGAAAATTATGTATATTGTGAGAAAATGTTCCACATAACTACAGACCACTTATTGTTACTCAGTAACATTTACTCTGCTATAAAATTTCCACATTTTGCCACTTTGTTTCTTTTAAAACCTCCAACCTATAGCTGCACATATCCTCATCTAACCCTGACAGGATTTCCTGCCAAACTACTTCAAAATCTCACTCCAAGGTTTGGTGAAAAGTTGGCAGCCCTGCTACTGTACCTCTATTCATGTTCTTGAACCAGTGAACCAGCTAGTCTGTATGTACATTTTGGGACGTGACAAAAGTACAGGCCAGAACCCAATAAGGAAACACCCCCAAGTTTACGTCAATTCAGTACTTTATTTCAATTCGCCCGTTTTATGGTGGAAGTTTAGAATTGTGAGATTTGCAAATAAAGGAGGTGTCGATGGGGTTTGAACTTCTCTGTACTTCCATTTCACCCTCTTAACTATTGTTATAAATCCATGACAATGTAAACTCGGTTTTGCATTCTATGACCCCTTTAATATAAATAATATAAGATAATAATAATATACCCTAAACTTTATATATCTAAATATGTTTTTTATTCAATGGGCTTTAGTTCTAGCTCAGAGCTCACATTTAAACTGTTTTTCTTCTATAAGAAACCCTCAAAGGAGCGCCTGTTGCTTCAACTCTTTACACTTTCTTTAACATGAAAACTTCTCCTGGACCAGTGCTTCTGTGTGTCTTTGAATGCATCATCTGTCTTGTAAAACAGAATTTTGATCGTGGCAGGCACCCTTAGCCTACTTCCGTATCAGGTTTCCACAGTCACCACAAACACGCCCAGTGTGAAAAATTGGTCTAAAGTAAAGAGCAGTATGCCATCAACCGTCAAATGTTGCTAGAAAGTCACTCGCTTGATCCAGGTAGATGGATTTCCTTAGAAAATGTTTAATATACATCGGCATGAGAAATGCTTTATGATGAGGGCTTTGAATCTTTTTTGAAAAAAATGATTAATTAAAATATTGATTCACTTGATTTGTTTTTTTTGTAAAGTACTTTGAGATGTTTGCTATGAATCTGCACTATAACAGGAACTGAATTACATTTTAAAACATGCATCTTACCGAATGGTTGGTTCTAATAAGCATATTCTTTAAAAACTATTTTTGACCTATGTGATCCATGTATTCATTTTAAAGTCAGGGCTTGGTTTGAGTGACAGACATTAAAAGAAGGGAAATATTTAGGTTAAAAAGCCATTATAAGCTGTTTTTACTTAATTAATACAGTAACTCTGCAGCTATTTTAATAGAACACTTCAGAAATTTGAGTTTTAAACCCTCCTACTTACAGTCAGAAAGCATGCAGAAGCTATTCTTTATTTATGATATTCTATGTATGAACGAAGTTGGTTTTGTGTCAGATCCTTTACCATTTGATATGTAGTAAACATTTTTTTTTAATATATATATATATATATGATATCCACGTCCCCTCACCCTCACCTGCACTGTGCTCAACCAAGTATTTTAGATTAACTAAGGTCCAAATTAGACAGTAAGGATGATGGAGTTTTCTATATCGGTTCCTCTAAGGATTAGATTACCTTTTGTATTCGACACGTTTACATCTCTGAAAAATCTCAGGTTTTCCTTTTTGTTTTTCTTTCCTTTGGATTTTGAATCTAATGGGCCATATTACCGAAATAGATCATATGAAAGCATTGCATTGTATTATTATTTTTGTATTTTCCCGTTTATTCTTTTATATAGCTTTCAGTTATTCAAATTTGGCTAAATTGAAAATATGTGTTTCATGTGCTATTTTAAACATTGTTGTGGAACCTTTTTTCTCTTTTATGTCTTTTCACAGAAATGTCTAAGTGTAGTGTAACAATCTGTGTATATGTGTCAGCATTTACGTGTTTTTAATTTTGAGATAGACTAGTCTGTGGAGGACATACTCCTGTAAAACAAAATAATAGACACATGAAGTCATTTTTAGCCAAAAAAAAAAATGAACAGTATTCCCAGATGAACAAGTCTGTGCCTGAGAAGAAAAAACAAATTCAACCAAGTGTGATGTTGAATGATGTTGGTTGAATTAGATTTAAAAAGATTATTTTTTATTCTTTCCTGAGCTTTAATGACTCTTTAATGACGATAATGATAAACCAACTGGTTGATCGACTGGATGTCGACAGACAAAATCATGTCTTTGTACATCTAGTGGTCTGTGTTAGGAATTGTATTTTGTTGTTTAACATGTAATATAAAAAGAGAGTGAAATATTTGTTTCTTTGTTGTTTTTCAATTAAATAAGGAAAATAAACTGATTAGTTTCATGAAAACTAGATGTGTGTGCCAGACAGGGGGTTCTGGAAACCCCAGAGAAAGCATACCGAATATGACCTGGAAAAAGGACAGAATAAGGGTTATTCCTTATGCAGAGGTACCAGATAAAATCTCCCACTCTACTAAAAATGACAAACCTACACAACTATGCCAAAGATGCACCTACGTATATGGAAAAACAAAACTTCTGACAAGATGAAGCCATCAGGCAGATGGGTGATTACTTAAAAAATGCTACATTTTAAACCACATGTGAAACATCTTCTCATCTTATTATGCCATCTTTAGTAACTGTAGTTTATCTATATTTTCCTACTGTGTGTGAATATGCATGCCCTGACATGTACTTTTGCTGTTTGAACACCTGAATTTCCTTGTGAAGAATGAAAGTGTGACTTTACTTTGAATATATTTTTTGTCATTCCTGTTACAATGTTTGGTTAAAACTAAACCAGCCAAAACTGTTCACAACAATGAGGGGATGAAAGACGGATGTTTTATGTTGGTTTCAATCACAAGACTCACCTTGCAATCTTTTGTGTTGCCGATGAACATCTAAATTATACTGGTGACAAGTGAATTGAATAAGTAAAGTTTCGCCTTTGGGCCATTAGACATTCATACCATAACAGTAGCAAGAAAGTGTTGAAATTATACAACTCGGTTGAAATACAATGATAAGGCCTTTATCCTATGAATTGTTAATAGGCAAAATTTAACCCTAACTCCTAATGTGACAGTTTTAAAAAGAGGGCGACAGACTTATACCATTAAACAAAAAATGAGAACATAAAATTTCTGCTGCTAGACGTCAATGCAAACCTAACGCCTTTTTTGCAATGACTATATTGACTGTTATTGAAAACTTTACGAACTAATTATAATGTTCTAAAATGGATTGATTGACTTTATTAATCTCACAATGGAGAAATGTACTCATAACATCAGCTCAAATAGTCAAAGGAGGAGAGGAAGGTGCAAAAGGAAGAAAAAGGTGCATGGGATATATACAGTATATACAGTTCGTCCACATATGACAGTTTGTTTGTTTTTTTGCAACAAAAGCTTACGTTTAAAATACAAATCTAATCCTAAATAAATATTTGTAAAGTGAGGTGTTACCAAGAACATTTCTGATACAGAGGTTCACCTTTAAATATATGGAGGACCAACTCTGCCATATTTAAAAATAAAGAAAGAAATAAATAAATGCTCAAAAGATAAATAAGCATACAATTAATTGCCCCCCAAAATAAAATAAACAAATAAAGGCAGGTAGAAATTAAATTGTACAGTGAAACAAAAATGTATATATCAGAAGGTGAACCTCTAAGACTTGCATAATGAGGCAGAAATGCCTAGAGAGATGTAAAAACAACAGGCAGAAATAAATAACGCTGAAGAAATAAATAGGGTAAAAAAAATACAAAGAAGATTAAAACACAAAAATATCACATGCACATAAATAAAGACTTAAAAATAACTAATAAATAAAGTTGAAGATTATAATGGACAATAAATAAATATGGTTATTATTACAAAGGCGAATAAATAAAGAAGCTAATTAAAAGAGATATATACATTTATGTCTCATTGTATAATTTAAATTCTACCTACATTTATTTGGTTATTCTATTTTCGGGGGGAATTAATTGTATGCTTATTTATTTACAGAGCTTTTTTTCCCCCTGTTTTTATTTTTAAATATGGTAGAGTTGGCCCCCTAATAAGAGAGGCGCATTTACTGTAAAACTTGCCAGGATTATTTTCTGCTGCCAAGCACACTGGGCACGTGTCCTGCGTAATGACGTCACGTGACAGCGCTGTACGTCAAGCAGCAGTTGGTGCTTTCACGTTCCTACAAATCTTTTTCCAACTCCGCAGTAATACAAAACCCTCTGCTGTCTATTACTGCAGAAAGGGTTGTTTACAGTCTGAACGCCATTACAACTTTCAGTGGAAGACGGAAAAAAAGACGCCGGTTAGTTAGGAAGTGCGGCAACAGAGAGGATTCACTGGGAAAACATTAGCCATTAGCTTAGCATAGCGCTGCTAATCTAAACATGAGACAGCAGGCTGCCAGACTGTAACCAGACTAGATTTACAGTTGTAGCTGCTGGTAAGTGTTTGCAGTATTTTTTTTAGGATATTAGCCGGTTTTTATTTTTTATTTTAGACACTTCTTTTAAGACAATTACAAAAAGAGCATAATTGTGATCTGAAGGTGATATATTTTGTTAAATTGGTTTTCTGAACATTCTAAAAAGTGTGGCTTTGTTTCCAGCTCACATTCAATACCAACGCTGCATTACAGATGATCTTGTTTGCATTATTATTTTATTTACTGAGACAAATTATATGGACTACTTTGTCTGGTGGACAAATTATCTCACCTAACACCTTGATCTCTGCAGATTTTTGCATTTGCCATGTTCTGTTTCAGGTATACATGAAGGGAAATGTAGGTTAAACTCAAACTAAATTAATTTCCCATTGTGGAAACACTTTTTTTAATATTCTCCAGCAAAACAAACATTTGAGAGCACTCTTTTCTGCAGTATCAAGCAACAGGTTGGGGAGGGGAAGCATTGCATTACTCCATGTTTTGCACAGTCAGACAAAACTGGTCAATTAGCCACTTTTTTTTTGTTTTTTAGCTTCTTGCAGGTTAATTAAAACAGATTTTATCTGCAGCAACTGTACAAATGGGATTACCTAAATACACCTCTAGCTCTAAAACTAGCTCCTGCCTTTTTACAAAAGATAGCAAAGATTTGTAGCATGTGTAGATAAGACATAAACAACTAGAGTGTATGAATTTGGGATATGTTTGAAAATAGTTAAGAAAAAACTATCTGACTCAATGTTGCATGGCTGTTCTGCAGGGATGCCCTTTACTGCCTCCAAATAACAAAAAGTGTGATATCAGCTCTTTAACTTAAGGCCATGTGTTCAGCAGGCATGAACATCGAAAACCTCACCCTCTGCGAGAAGATTGTATCACCCTCTTACATCAGACAGGGCTCTCAGGCTCGCCGTGGTCACGAGCAGCTCATCAGACTTTTGCTGGACCAGGTGGTGGTTATATTGCTTCTTTTTTTATGGTCTTACAGCAGATGTTTCAGCTTCTCACATTGTGCTTTTTACAGGGTAAATGTCCGGAGGAAGGATGGAGCGAGAGCACCATAGAGCTTTTCCTGAATGAGCTGGCCGTGATGGACAGCAACAACTTCCTGGGCAACTGTGGCGTCGGAGAACGGGAGGGGCGAGTGGCGTCCAGGCTGGTGGCGAATAGACATTACAGGTTTAGACTAAGCTCTTGTCATTTAACCATCATCAAAAGGATGTCTCTGATGCCAAATATTCCTAAATTAATACCCCAATCTTCCCATTCTTTCTCATATCGTTTGATGTCTTTTATAATATATTCAAAGTGGTTGGCTTGAAATATTGCATTTATTAGGGATGGGATGAGGCAGTCGGTCTGTGGCTCTGCTGAGGGGTTTTAATAAGGCCTGGGTGCTTTTATAGCAGCTTTTAGCTCATCTGGTGTGTGATGGACCTGAACACAGCAGCAACCGATTTTGCTCAAGGTTTTAGACCCTCTAACTCTTCCACTGCTGTTTCTGTTCAGGTTGATCCATGGCATAGGTCGGTCAGGTGACATCGCTGCTGTTCAGCCCAAGGCAGCAGGATCCAGTCTGCTTAACAAGCTCACAAACTCTGTAGTCCTGGACATCCTGAAGATTTCAGGTGAGTAGGCTGAAGGTTCATAAGATAAAAATAAAGTGTAAGCTTTCTTTAGAATTAGCCTTTTAAATTGGGCCTACCCACTGTAAAGCGTGAAGTGAATAAATAAACTGAATAAAATGGTGGCTAAATTTAATAACTACCATTCACCAAGACTGTCTATGTTTCTTTGTTTTGGTACAGTTATTGAAGATGGAAGGGTAGAAAAACATTTATTTGAAGAGGACAAAAACAGTAGATCAACTTCTTTTGGTTAAACTGCTGATAATGAATATAGTTGTGATTTTCTTGTAGCTACGTAGATAACTCATATTCTAGAGCTGCTTGCCATCAGCCCTAAAGTACCAGGACCTAAACGCTCTCTAGAATAATAACATATTTCATCAAAAGTAATGTCATTAATGAACATTTGACAATTACAAACCTTGCAAACCTACCCATTAAAGATCATCTTGGTTTGGGACTTTTTAGACATGTTAAAGTATCAATTATAAAACAAACTCCTTCTCTAACAATGTTATACTATATCCTTCTATTATGAGAAGTCTAATTTTATTCTCTGTGGCAGGTGTTCGCAGTGTGGCCAGCTGCTTTGTTGTTCCCATGGCAACAGGAATGAGCCTGACTCTGTGCTTTCTGACCCTCCGTCACCGCAGACCCAAGGCCCGCTTCATCATCTGGCCTCGCATCGACCAGAAGTCTTGTTTCAAATCCATGATCACTGCAGGTCAGCATTCAAATGAGCCCGGGTTAAAACATTTGTTTGACTAAGTTTTCTTGAGATATTTTTAGCCCCTCTTGTATCTAACTATTAGTAATAGGTCCAGCAACACCGAGGCGCCACTGCATGTATTGAGCTCTAACAGCAAGACCCTGTGTCGGTGTGTGTATTGTTTCAAGAAAGTCACTTGACCGATACTGGAGCTGTTTTCGAACAGACTGATGGCTCTAAACTGTTTTTATAAGCGCATCTGTCAACACAAGGCGTCTGCCAAATAAAATCTCTGATCGTTTGCGGTTTGTCATCAAACGAATCAAGAAATCTGGAGCAGCCTCAAGGCAAAAGAACAGTTTCAGCCGACTGGGACAATTTGACTGTCATATTTGATTCAGTTTCCTTATTATGTCATACTGTTCACTCAGCTTATTGACTCTCAGTTTGCTGTTCTTACTATAGTTATTTTATATAAATAATTCCTTGTCCACAAACATCCTTATTCACATGTTAACTTACATTTTCCTGTTATATGTTCACATTTATGGATTGCATCTAAAAAAAACCCAGAAAAAACCCCAGCAATGGCTAGCTCCAAGTGGCGCTTGGAATCCAGAGGTTCTGAGATCAAGCCCCACTCCCACGGACTGCCACTCTTTCTCCCTGAGCAAGATCCTTAACCCCCACACTGCTCCCTGGGCGCTGCACAATGGCAGCCCGCTGCTCCCCAAGGGGATGGGTTAAATGCAGAGTTAATTTCGTTGCTCTGTACAACAGTGTAATGACAATAAAACGCTGAAAAAAAAAACAAAAATATTTTCAATTTGAACGAAGAAATAAAATAATGCTTTACAGCAAACAATGGCTTAAATTATGTCATAGGTCATCAATTTATTTGATTTAACTTCCCTTTGGGAATAATAAAGTACTTTTGATTGAATTGAATCAAATCAGTGTCAGTTTAGTCTGCAAAAGAGGCTGCCTGTAGTGATTTTAAATGTCCAGCAGGTGTCAGCATCCAGTGACACAGTATCAATACAGTTTGCTAATGTGTCAGAACGCTTCATGACCCCTCGTGAACCCATCACTACTAACCATCCATCCTATATGTGCTAGTTAGAGTTCCTCTCCAACTGAAGCTGTTATTGTTTCATCAGGATTTGAGCCCGTGGTTGTGGAGAACGTCTTGGAGGGTGATGAGCTTCGGACGGACTTGGAGGCGGTCCAACGCAAGATTGAAGAGCTTGGAGCAGAAAATGTCCTGTGCCTTCATTCCACAACGTCTTGCTTCGCTCCGCGGGTTCCCGACAGGTTACTGGAAGATTTTAGCAGATTTACACGTGTCTGCAGCACTTCTGTGACCATTCATTATCATCTTTATGAGTAATTAGAAACAGCATTCTTAGTGTATCGTCCTGTCTTCCAGACTTGAAGAACTGGCCACTATGTGTGCTAAATATGACATCCCTCACATAGTCAACAATGCGTACGGCGTGCAGTCATCCAAATGCATGCATCTTATACAGCAGGTATCTAACACTAACACTTAATGGAAGCAGTACAGGGCCTGTCTAGAGCAGGAGTCTGCCACCTGTGGCTCTGGAGCCACAACTACTATTTGGACTCTGTACAATGGCTCTTAATAGTTGACTTTAAAGAACCAACTAGTTGTGTAGAACATTGTATGATATAAAAATATTATTCTTAGACAATTCTGTTTTTTAAGATGTATATTTCATGTCATTAGTTTAGGAAGCTTATGGTTCATTTAATAGTTTCCTAAAAAGGAAAACCCATGCTTCCTCTTTATGAAACATTTAGATATTTTCCTTATATAACAACCATAAAAACTTCACATTTTTTTTGTTTTGTTTTATGTTGTCATGAAAAACATCATTAGAGATACAAAAGATAAGTAAGTTAGATCAATTTAATCGTTAACTGGAGTGTAGAGACTAAAACGTGCTTTTAGCTGACAGAGCAACCCACCTTGAGCAGCAATTGTACCAAAATTGTAAAAAAAAAAAAAAAGAAAATAGAAACATTTTGTATTTAAGATAAAAAAAAAAAACTTTTCCGTCTGTCAAAATGCTTTATCCAGAACTACTGCATTTGAAAAATTTTAGTTTCACCTGCTTTAATTTAGCAAAAAGTCTATTTTAATTAAGCTTTGGCTGTCTAATTATTAATAATTTATTATTTACAAAAACTGTTGACAAATTAATAGATTTGCTAAATAATTGTTACTTGCAGCCCTGGCATAATTTTTCCAATATCAGAAATATAACAAAAATAATGAGTTGGATATCATGTAAAGATCATGTATTTGTTTGCGGATCTAAATTGCTTTTATTTTGCCGGTCACGGTGTAAAATGGCTTTGTTCATTTGAAAAGGTTGCAGGACCCTGATCCAGAGCGTTAAATGGCAGTTTAAATATGTATAGAGTCTGTAGAAATGTTTTTTTCTGTTTTCTTGTTTTGTTTTCTTTTTTAGCATTTTTTTTCCATCAGGAATTAAGAAACGGCAAACTAATGAAGTTACTTCCGAAAACCAAAATGAAAAATGTGTTAATTCTGTGTTATATTGCAAAATCTTTTCTAAATCCACACAGGGTCTAAACTCAACAAAGATGCTTAAATTTACAAATGTAACCCAGGTAAACATTTATTAATAGAATAAAGAATAAAATGGAATAGAAAATCCCTTTATTGTCCCACAATAGGGAAATTCTGTTTTTTACAGCAGCAAAAAGATTATAGAAAAAAAAAAAAGGTCACACAAATGTGGAACTTACAAATAAGAGATATTAGAGACTAGAGATATTTTACAGTAATGTATATTCGAAAATAGCAGCAAAATCAGAGATGTGCAAAATGACAGCAGCATGTTATTTAACGGACTAAGGTAGAAAATGCAAAATTTAGCCTGAATGTAATAACTTATTGAGGTTGTTGGGAACAGTGATGGTTATAAAATCTTCCACCTGCTGGGAGGAAGGATCTGTCATAACGCTCCCTGGTGCATTTAGGGTGCAGCGGTCTGTCACTGAAGGAGCTCTCCAGTTCTGCAACAGCTTCCTTCCTGCATGGGGTGGGAGACATTATGCAACAGAGATGTTAATTTAGTTAGGATCCTTTTGTTTCCCACCTCCTGCACGGAGTCCAGAGGGCATCCAATCACAGAGCTGGCATCCCTGGCATCACTCCTGATCAGCTTATCCAGCCACTTTCTCTCAGCTACAGATAAGCCTCTATTTCAACAGGCAGCTCCATAGAAGAGATGATAGAAGATGGAAGAACATAGAAGATGGCACAACAGTCATAGACGGTCTTTAGGAGCGCCCCCTGCAATCCAAAAGAACTCAGTCTCCTCAGCAGGGAGAGTCTGCTCTGACCTTTCTTATACAGAGGCCCACTATCTAGCCCACTATATTAATGACC